TGGATTTAAAAGAGTTATATTTAGGAACCCAAGTTGAAGTGGACATTTCCAAACAAGTAATTTGCTCAGATTGTAGGGGAAGTGGAGCTAAAAGTGAAGATGATGTTATAACATGCGATGCTTGTGGTGGACGAGGTGTTAAAGTAGTTAAACAGATGCTTGGACCAGGAATATTTCAACAAATCCATTCCACGTGAGTACTACTTTGTTATTCTATCAAATTTGAAATGATATTAATGATTGTATATAATTTAAGGTGTGATTCGTGTGGAGGAAAAGGTAAAATTGTGAAGTCTAAATGCCCCATCTGTAGTGGAAGGAAGGTTCTACGCGCGAATGAACAGTTAACTGTCATTATAGAGCGAGGGATGAAAGATGGAAACACTGTGGTAAGTTACTATTAACCAATTTTTATAATTTACAAAAATTTTACTTAATCGAGCATGATTTTTAATTATTATAGGTTTTCGAAAAAGAAAGTGATGAGGCGCCAGATACAATACCTGGAGATATTATATTTAAAATAAAAACGCTTCCACATTCAATGTTTGAAAGAAACGGAGATAATCTATATAAAAAAGAAACTATTTCATTAATTGATGTAAGGATTTAATGTCTTTTTTTTTTTAAAAAGAAAAGATTCTTATGTTTGAAATCAAAATTTAGGCACTTACCGGTTTTGAAAGAAATTTTACACATCTTGATGGCAGGACTGTCACAATAAAACGTGATACGGTGACACAACCAAATTTTGTTCAAGTTATTAAGGATGAGGGTATGCCTCGACATCGAACACAACTTAAAGGTGACTTATATGTGGAATACACAGTAGTGTTTCCTTCGGTCATTGATGATGCAACAAAAGAAGGTAAGAAAGAATTCTAATATAACTTATTTTTATGCGTTTATTGACATAAACATGATATTTATATTAGGTTTAAAGAAACTTTTCCCTAATATGGGCGGTGTTTCAAGTGGGTCCAAACATGATGAATTATAGTATAAAAAGAATTGAATAATTTTTAACACAGTTTTAGAAAGTACACGCATATATATACGAGTCATTTACTCTCCCAATCCATCATTATCGCTATTACAACTTTACACCATAATTTCAATCATACATCCTTCTAACTCGCATTTAAGGATTCGTATATAGGAACAATTTGAACATTTTTACACTTTATTTATATCGACAGATTATGTAATTAATAATAGCAAATTCTAATGATACGGAGTTTAAACTTTTATTTATAATATGGCCTTATCTGATAGAAATGTTAATTCGCATAGATTTGTAGACGTTTGTAAGACAACTATATTCATTTAATTCCATCATCTGTGATGATATGAATAATTTCATGTCTTAAATAAGGCATTTGAAAAATATTTTAAAAAACAAAACTCTATTTAAAAAAATAATTGAAACTTTAATACTAAACGCGTTTTTAAACATTGTTTTTTATATTACATATTACGTAATGTTGCATAATATTCGGTCGGATATTTTGAAATAATGTATTTAAAGCAAAATTCATTGCGTTTTACGTATATGTTGTGCCTCAGATCGATTTTTGCCTCAGGTGATAACTGAGGCACCTCAGGTGTTGATCATTTGGCCGG